AGCCAATTGCTTCGATGTGTAGGGGAGGAACAGAAGAATATCTAAACATGCAGTTTAAGGCAAGGTTTACAAGTGTAAGTGCAACAATGACAACATTGATCAAAATGAACATAACAATGTGATTTTCCTCTAATGGTCCTCGCTGTTACTCCAGCTCAATATTAGGCTGTTTTGCGTAATTTGGGACTGTACTATAGGATGGCCCTCCCACACTCATCTTTTATTGTGATCCATGCTGAAATTGTTTAAGGAAAAAAGCTAATATCTTAAAGGTATCTTAATACTGAAACCAGACTGCCTCTGTGAATTTTCATCTTCTAGTTGGTTTGTTTGAAAATCGCCTCTGTCAGTGCGCCCCAGGGCAGCTGTGGCTGCAACGTAGCTGCCATCACCAGTGTGTGAATGTGTGTGTGACTGAATGTGTAAAGCGCTTTGGAGTCCGTAGGGACTAAGTAAAGTGCTGTACAAATACAGGCCATTTACCATTTATATTTCCTGGGTAGAAATTCCTCTAGGTGGCATTATTGCATTTTAATCATATCCCCACCACACCACACTTCTTTTTCACAATTTGCAGTATGTTTTTGTCCCTTAGCATTAACTCGGCTTTTGCTCTTTTCCTGTTCACAACATCTACTCAAAAAGCAAACAAACAAATATATAAAACAATCTGCATTAAAGCAATTATTGTTATGTAATTAAATTACGCCTCTCTTTCACACCAACCCTCTTCCTGTCCTTGACTACATCCATAATCTCCCCTAAGGTCTTCCTCTTTCCCTTATCCTGGCAGCTCCATCTTCAACATCCTTGGTCTAATATAGCCACTATCCCTCCCTCCAAACCGTCTCAGCCTTGTCTCTCTGACTTTGTCCCTGTGATGTACTCATTTCTAATCCTGTCCATCCTGTTCACTTGTCTCCAACCACTCTCTTCTTCACCTCTCTTGTGCCCTGTCTGGTCCTTTGGATTTTTAACCAATGAAATACTGAAATAACGCCAATATATTAAAAAAAAAAAATCATATATTTGTCTACTTCAAATTTGGACACAATTTATTTTCAAAAAAGAGACAAAGCCCAAAGGAAACAAAGTTAGAGATTAGCATGAGAGGGGGAAAAAAGAAGAAGAAAGATAGAGGTTCTGGTGTTGGGTGTACTTTCACTGCAAGTGCTGACACAGGCAGAAAACAGATGAACAAGCAATTCAAAACAAACACGTGATGTTTTTCCTGGACATTTTGACAG